TGGTACTACACATTCATTCCTAATCCTTATTTAAAAAACCACATTTCATGTTATAACATTTTATTCCTAATCAATATACATGTCAAGGCATTCAAAAAAATATTAGGCTCGACATAGAAACTCAAGTGTCTTATCATGACGGTTCAAATTGAATTGCCATAAGAAATTTCTAGGCATACCTCTTCATCGATAGGTTGATCACCGATGTAGGTCATTGGAGGTTAAAACAAATATCATCCCCTCTACTCGACTAGAGGAACCACTTAAACTAAACAATTTATTATTAATCACTAAATTCTTGAATTATTTTGACATGAATGAAGGTTTGTCTCTGTGCAATTGATTCATATCTAATTATATTGGACTTTTAGAGAAGAGTTGTCTTTGAAGGGAAGACTTTGACTCTGAATTTTGTTGAACTTTAAAAAAAAAATGATATTAGTTGAATGAAAAAAAAAAATAAAGTAAAAATCGAATTTATCATTAAATTCTTAATTTTATTTTTTTATTCGTGAGTATAGTATGTCCTATAATCAAATCGAACCTCGATATTTTTATAACTTAGTTTTTATTGACACGTGAATTATTTTTTAATATAATTGACATATTCGAAATAGAATGATTTTTCTTAATTTGTTAGGTTGAGCATGGAGTATAAAATCTACAAGGCATCTAAAATTTAAGCCTAGTGGCACATTTGTCCTCTTTTTAGGGGATTCATGCGGAGTTGAGATTTTCTACCATTTCTCTCACTTATATTTTATAATATTACAAACTATTTTAATTGTTCGCTAAGCTTCAATGCAATGTCTAAACTATAATATATAAATTATGTACTCAGTCCTATCACATTTTTTTCTTATCATATATCAATAAATGGGTTCATATCATGCATCGTTGAGGGGATTAATGATTTCTATTTTTACATTAAAGTTTTTGTAATATTTTGAACTATTTAAATCGAGATCATAAGAAATAAATTGGGGGGCATTATGGTCCATGGGAGATAATCCAAGAAAGTTGGCAAGTGGAGTGGGGGTGATGTGATACTATGTCATGATAGTGAAAGTACAAAAGTACCCTTTATGAAAATAGTTGATTTGTTGTGGTGTGGGGAGCAAGCCGCGTTTGGTTACCAAGTTGCCTCCTCGCGATGCGATGCGACGCGATGGCTTTCCCATGTAAACGTTCCGTACGGAACTCTAAAAGGAGAAACAAAAGCGTTATCCATATTCAAATTTGTGCTTATCAATTTTTGTAGCTTAATTCAATCAAATGGACTAAATTTGAAACATTCCCTCATTCCCATGTAAATATGTTCCTACGATTCATGTTGGGCTCGAGCGATGTGAGTAACCCATGGTTCAAACGAAAGTAAGCCTAAGAGAAAAAATTGACCCTAAATATATGTACTTTTTGGTTCAACATTAGATTAAGTAGAAGATTGGAACCTCTAACATTTTTATTAATAATATATATTTTACGGTAGTTGCTCTATAAAAATATATGAGTGATACGCAAAGTCTACTCGAAATTCCCTTTTAGATGATATTGTTTGTCTTCCTCATTTAATCTTATCTTTCACACCATAGAAGGAATATAATGACGTAGAAAAACTTAAAAAATGAAGGTTACTATCTATGATTTATGAATTCCAAAGGTAAATGGGATTTACTTGAAGTAATTCTATGTTTGGTGACCTTTTGTGATTCTCCTATGATGCATGTGAGTGTTTATAAGATATATTAAAATGACTCGTGTCGATTTGTGGGGAGCAAGTGGCGTGATCATGTCGCTTGGGTAAATTCTAATTCGAATCCTAAGCATGAGTCATTACAGTTTCGTTCTAAAACATACTTTTGTACGTAACTACACCAAAGCAAAGCTAAGTCAGATAGGTCACGATTAAATAAGGAATGGTATAAATAAAATAATTTGTGATGGAATTAAATTTGATATAATTGGAATGGAGAAACATAGAAAATAAAATTGTTGGGGGAAGGGTGGGTAGAAAGGTAATTGAAGAAAGAAAGAAGAAAATGGTTGAATTGGAGTAGCGTGGGGGGTGAGGGGTAGTTGAGGGAATAAAGGTGGGAGTGGGGCCTACATGTGTCCCAAAGAGAGGGGCAGCCACGTCTGATGGGATGGATTTCAGGGACAAAAACGGTAACTTCAAACTTCTCCATCTCAAGATTTTGCAATATCTCATTTGTGCCCCCCCCGGCCCCAATCAAATATATCCTCTTTTTTCTTTTTCTTTTTTCTTTTCATCAATTTCTTCATTCAATTTTATTGTTCTCGGTTTATATAATCAATGAAATCTACGGATATTAAATGGATGAGTAATAAAAAAAAAAATCAAGGGACATTTTCTTTTGAATTAATGAAGATAATAGTGAGACATGTAACTTTGAATGACACATACATACACTCCGCTATAAGAAAATTATTTTTATAATTTCAACGTCGTTAAAATCCAAACACGTTTTCTCCCATGAATCTCGCTAGTTGGTCGCATAATTAGTCACACAATTTGGGACTACGGGTAAGTTTTAAAAGTTTTAAAGTAAGGTTTAATTATTAAAAAATGAACAAAAAGTAATACTAAAACTATAACAATTATAACTATGAATTACTGATGGTATGAAGTGAAATTAAATATCGGTTAATTTTGTATTTAAAAAATATTGAAGGGTTGGGGGCAATTGTGGAAAAGAAAAAAAAAAGAAAGGGAAAAGAGGAGTAACGTGGGACGGTTGAGATTTAGTTAAAGGGGGAGCCTCAAACATTGACAATTGAAGAAACAACTGTCTCCATTCCGTAGGGAGAAGGGAAACCCTTTTTTTTTTTTTTTTTTTTCTTTTTCCACAAAAATAAGCCCCTTTTTTATAAAGAAAAAATTATAATATAAAAGGACAGATTCTCCAAACAAAAAGAAAATAATAATAATAAATCCTTTATTTCTCCCTCAACCCACCACTTGTGCAATAGCATATCAAAAGCTTTGAAATAAAAAAATAAATATAAAGGGAAAAAAAAGAAAAAAAAGGTTTGTTTCGTAAGCCAAATTGCGGCTGAATTTTGATTTCTCTCTCTCTCTCTCTCTCTCTCTCTCTCATAATTATTTATTTGAAATTAAAATAACTTTGGGAGGTCAAAGGAGTTTGCGTGTGGGTGTTGAAGAGGCTTTGAAACGTCAAAGGATGCAATTATTGTGTTTTTTCTATTATTTTTTTTTATTAAAGTATATTAATAATAATTATTATTTAATTTTATTCTATTTTCCTCCCTTTTCCCTCAATTTATAAAAAAAATAGTGTGTTTAGTATTAGTTCTCCTTTTGGCTTTGTGACACCCATATTTTGTTTACCTTTCTATATTGTGTATTCATTGGGAAATTTGCATTTAGTCCTCGATTTCTGTATAGGGATGAAGAGGTGGTTTTGTTGTTTAAAATATGAATATAATTTCAATGCTTGTCCCATCGAGGCCAAATGAACCATCAAAAAGTTTTTTTCAAAAAATTATATCAATCATTTTCGCATGATGCTGTTTTAATATATACTTTTGTTATTGAAATAAAGAAGAGAAAATAAGGGGGGAAAGTGGTGAGTGGGTTGGCTGTTTATTAATTAATTTCTGTATAAAATATGCACCAAATGATTATATCGTAAACTATAGAGCTTAGCTTCTTAATTCTTTCAACTTTCCAAAAATTTGTATTAAATCGAAGACGTGACCGACTTAATCTTGTCTTTTTGTCGGATAATCATTTTATTAATTATCATAATTTTCAATCAAACAATACATGCATTTTTCCTCAAATGGAAAATCTGTGTGTTCCTGCATCAGCAAAATAATCGATACTTTTATTTCTTTTAATAAATTTACTTCACAACAATTAATGTATTTAGACTTTAAAATATTTGTTTAAACCACAATATTCATCGTCCCTTTTCAGCTACTTCATAAGTATATGTTTTTTTAGAGACAATTTTAATAATGAACAGTTGGTATTAACTTGCTAATGAATTTCAAAATTGCAACCTGGATGGAGGTAATTTGTAGAACCAAAGGTGGAGTGCATGTTTGTAGCCCATGTGGATGGAAGCACCTAAAATAGGCCTAATTTGAAATCCAGCGTCTATATAGTAAACCAAAATTAATATCCAAACTTGTTAAGTTCTATTAATACATCTTAACACCCTACCTAACTCTTCTAATTCCATTTCATTCATTATTTCCTCTTTTCATATTCTTCTTTTTGTTTTCCTCAGTACTCAAAATATTCTCATTTTATTATTATTCATCCACTGTATACTTAATTAACCAATCTTTCCATTACCAACCAAATTATAGTCACAAGTAACGTTTTCATTCACTCCTAATCTAAATGAGAGATTACCCGTTAATGGAAAATGAAAATGAAGAAAACTCTAAATTAAAACTCATTGGGTAACCAAAAAGGATGACCAAACTCATACCACCTAATTAAGTTCTCTTACTTTCTTTACACACGAAACGCAAAAAATAGAGAAATTCCTTCATTTGTAATCCCATGAAATGAACTATGTTTTCTCTCGTCTAATTGCAAAAAATAAACGATGTCAAACTAACTAAGCTAGATATGTGGGTCCGCCACAAATTATGTTTTCTCTCTTGTAATTGCAAAAAATAAACGAGCTACAACCATGTCAAACCAGCTAAGTTAAGTACGATTATCTAGTGCATTTCAACCTTTTTCTTTTCATTACACTAATCTAATAATCTACCAGAACGGGCGAAGAGAGAGTAGGTATAAAGCTCCTATTCAGAATGAATATTGAAAAACTAAGATACATATGGCAGTGTTATGGAATAATTTGTGGGAGAGGAAGAAAAGGAAGTTTGTAAGAGGTGTGTGTGAGAGAGAGTAAGAAAGAAGCACATAAGGGTTGGGTTGGTTGCATGAGTTTGTGGTAACTTACCTACCAATTCTCCACCTGCATTCAAAACTCTCTCGCTCTCTCTCACTTTCACTTCTATATAAACCAAATATCTCCAATGCTTCTTCTCAATATCATCACCTTCTTCTTCTTCTTCTTCTTCTTCTTCTTCTTCTTCTTCTTCTTTCAAGCTGAAAACAAGAGAGCTACACAGAGGATACAGAAAGGGAGAGGGTTGTAAGGCTTCCTTGCCCGGGATATCCTTTCATTCATACAACAACACCAACAAGAACATCAAGCTTGTAAGCTGTTTGTTTGGAGGGACAAAGAAAAAATGGCCATTTTTCACAGCCCCCATATCTTAGCTTTCACATTTGGCATTCTTGGTAATCATTAACCATTCTCATTTTTCTCTAAATACCACACTAATTCTAATCAATATATTAATTAATTAGTGGGTGTTGTGACATAGCCTCAAAAATTTTGCGTGGCAGGTAACATCCTTTCCATCTTTGTCTACTTAGCTCCTTTGCCGACGTTTTACAGAATATGGCAAAAGAAGTCGACGGAGGGCTTCCATGCACTGCCATACCTAGTGGCTCTCTTCAGCTCCGCCCTTTGGCTTTACTATGCCATCCTCAAAACCAACACTTTTCTTCTCATCACCATCAACTCCTTTGGCTGCGTCCTCGAGTTTCTCTACTTGGTCGTTTTCATTGCATTCGCCGCCAATCCAGTCAGGGTCGGTCTTCCTCTTCTTCTTCTTCTTCTTCTTAACATCTCTCCCTACTTAATGCTTCATTCTTTTCCTTCAGATGCTGACCATCAGAATCTTTGCTGTGATCAACATGGGGCTGCTTGGATTCATCCTCCTTGCCATCCACTTCATTCCCAAACATTCAAATGCTGTCAAAGTAATGGGGTGGATTTGTGTTGCTGTTTCCATCTCTGTTTTTGCAGCCCCTTTAAGCATTTTGGTGCGCATTTATTACATCTTCATTCCATTTTTATTATATAAATGATTGCACTTAAGACGGGAATTACTTGTGTTTGGTTGCAGAGACAAGTAATTAAGACCAAGAGCGTCGAGTTTTTGCCATTTTCACTGTCCTTCTTCCTCACATTGAGCGCCGTAATGTGGTTTGCTTATGGTGTTTTCTTGAAAGACATGTGCATAGCTGTAAGTAAAATTCTCAACCATAATCTATATATATATATATATTGAGTTATAATTAGTTTAGGGAATGGGTGTCCGTTAATGAGAAATGTGGGACAGATTCCAAATGTGGTGGGCTTCGTATTGGGGCTGCTTCAGATGCTGCTCTATGCAGTTTACAGAAAGCGGAAAATAATGGAAGAGAAGCTGCCAGAACAAGTAAAAAGCATAGCAGTTGTCGAAGTGAGTGAAGCCCAACCCAAATGACGCTCAATTAAATGATGTTATATAGATATCGAGAAGATCATGATTATGTTATGTTCTTCATACTTTCTGCAGCCAATGTTTCAGTTTTATTGTGGTATAGAGTTTTATTAAACAAAACCTGCTGCTCTCTGCTTTATACCGCAGAGTTCATCAAAATTGGCCGATTCAAACAGTTTTGTACTGCAGAGTTCATCATACAGGACATAGGCAATCAAACATGCCAAGCCTCACGTCTCTCTATGTACATTGCATTCTCCTCCACCATGCTTGCCTTTACTTCTTCTTCTCCTTCTTCTTCTTCTTCCTCCTCCTTCTCATGTATGGGTTATGGGAATTCATAAAGGAGGAAAATTTTAACTGAACAGAGTTGAGAAAAAAAAGTATTAACCAAGTCCGCAAGGATCAACCCAACCCCTACATCCATTGCTTTGCTGCTCACAATGACACTGAGTAGCAGCCACCCTATGAGCAACGTTTTAGAAGCTTCAATAACACCTCCTAACATTGGAACCTCTTCCTTCTTCCTCCACCGATCAAACGTAGGGAAGGAATGAGAAGTAGACGCGGTAACAGAGGGAGATCATTCCTTCTGCATCTCTTCTTCTAATTGCATTACTTATCCATTAGACCCATCAAAACTGCCTTGCGTGCTCTGTCGTCTTTTTTCTCGCCAATTCTCTCCCCACATCTTCGCCTCAGCGACCGCACGCTCTCTGTCTAAATCCCTATTCAAAATCCTTGCAGTCTCCCTAGGGGAGTCGTCCTTCTCCGGACCATCCAGTGTCCACCTTCGTCCAGATGCTCCCCCTTCTTCATTCTTTACCACCCCTCCACCTTTCTCGCCACTGTTCTGTCTTTCGTCCCGGTCACCAGAACCTCTCTGAGCGGCAGCAGTACCTGAAGGAGAACTTGGATCATAGGACTGATTTGCTAAATAAGACAGGGCAGTGACCACGTCTCCAATGAGTGGACGAGCTGCAGCCTGTTCTTGGGTACACATGGATGCCACAGCTAAAGCCTGGTAGAGACCTCGCATGGGATACCGCCCCTGCAACTGTGGATCAGCCAGTTTTGAGAATCTTCGGCGATCGTTAAAAAACGGGCGTGCCTTCATTGTGTTAAAAAAAGACCAACTATAATTAGCATGCAACAAAAATACTATCCAACATTTTATAAAAATATGTAAAATGTTGAGCATGTCTTACCCATGTGACAAGGTTCTGTTCACCTTGGGGTCGGGTGCTATCAATGGCTCTCCGTCCAGTAATCAACTCTAAGAAGACAACACCAAAACTATAAACATCAGACTTGACGGTTAATTGTCCAGTCATGGCGTACTCAGGAGCACAGTAACCATAAGTCCCCATGACCCTGGTGGAAACATGAGATTTATCTCCAACAGGGCCAAGCTTGGCGAGGCCAAAATCAGAAAGCTTTGGATGGTATCCTTCCTCAAGTAATATATTGGAGGATTTGAAGTCTCTATAAATAACTGGAGGGTTTGCCTTGTCATGCAAGTACTCTAAACCTCGGGCTGCACCAGCAGCTATTTTCATTCTTGTGTTCCAATCAAGGGGTTCCTTATCAGGTGGAATTTCTGATTAAGAAGAAAATTTTTTTATGATCAAAATACTTGAAGGTTTAGGGTTTAGAAGTAAAATAACATTCTTCATGGAGAAAGTTACAAGAAGTAAGGGAGAACAAAAAGATTCTCCCTAAATCCAGCAGAGTCCCATTCCAATTAATTACAGAACGAGAGCCTTATAAGAAGATAAAAGTTCAACAAAGAATAAAGCATGATTCCCAATGGGTAAGCCCTAAGCTAAAAATAAATATATTAAGAACCATTTCGGTAGGTTCATCTTTTTGAAGGATAAGGAATGTAATTCCCATTTTCGTGAGTACCACTACGTTCTTTTCTTTTCACTTTTCTCTTTTCTATTTACTTTTGCAGGTCACACACCAAATTAGCTTTGATTCTGATTCTAAACGCAAGCAAGCAATGCCATGATAGTCCTATACATTTAGCGTCTGATTCTAAAATAATATTGTAAATTTTATTAACTTGCTACAACCTTTTTTTTTCCATTGATTTTTATAACTAAATAAAATTAATACGATCAAGCATGTAACAATACTCCTCTGATGCATATTTCCAAGTGGCTACACAAAATACTCAAATGGGAAGAATGATACGACAGATTTACTACGTTTTATTCATGAACTAGACTAGCAAGTCATTACAACACACATCTCACAAATTACAAGACTTGTATAATTTCACATAATATGCACACAATTGTATTAAATTGCAATAACATTGATGATATAGCCAAATAGCAGCCACTAAACTTCACTAAATACTGCATCCGAATATGAGTAGACAACATAAGAATGAATAACATTGGAAATTTTTTTAAAAAAAGTTTTTTTTATTAAATCGCACATCCACGCATAAGATAATGTACTCAAGAGATGGACTTCCCTTCACCCCGCTTCCCAGAAACTTAAAGAACTTCCAAGAATGTCACAAGGGGTGAATTATGAACAATAAACAGAGAAATAGGTCGACAAGAAGTCCTCTTTTCTATGTGAATTCATTGAAAACAGTCCTTTGGTCCATCTAGCATGCTCTTTGATCAGATAGAATGGTCATTGCATAACAGCTTTAGGGCAATAGTAATCTAGCAAAATTTTGATACAGGTTGGAAATACTAGAATTTAAAAGGTATCCTCAAACTGACCAGGTCTGTTTTCTCTGAGAGCCAACGGCAGGCTACAAAAAAATCATAAGAATTTGGTCTCAACCCTTTTCAAAGATTACGTTCTAGACTATATCCAATCTTAAACCAGCAAGAAAAGTGGAAAAATAGTGGCTCACAGTCAACATCAGATCTACATTCAAAATCCATGCTAAATTGTACGGCGATTTTTGAAATGATTCTTCATATATTGACTACTTCTTATTCACATGTGGTTCATCCAAATGATAAGCTTTCAAGTCAGGGGAAAATGTTACCGTGAAGATGATCTTCCAATGATCCCAAAGGCATGAACTCATACACAAGAAGCCGTTGATCCCCATCAGCACAGTAACCAATCAGATTCACCAAATTTGGATGATGTAGAAGACTAAGCATGAGAACCTCCACTAGAAATTCTCTGTTGCCTTGAAGACCATTCCTATCCAACTGTTTAACAGCAACAATCTGCGGCAAATTTATGCAAATAAGAAATTTCCGTTGAGCGGAAATGGCCATTAACAGTATGTATAAAATATTTAAAAATATATTCTAGCGACATGGAATATGACAGGTGAATTTCAACTAATTATTTCAGAAGATGGGAGGTAGATCCTCTCTGTTTAAGAAGGCATAATTTTCAAGTTGAAGTCCTATAAGTTTTACATATATGCAAAATTTATATACATTTCTGTGACAAGACATGAAGAAACTAGATAGTAGTTATTTGTGGATAGGTGTCATGCAAGTCGGGAAGGCTTAACTGATTCCCCCCCTTTCTGCTACTAGTAATAGATCAACTCCAATCTATTTTTCCAGCAGGAACTTCTAAGCTTCTTTAATGAAACAAAATCTTCTCTTTAACGACATTCTTACTTGCTAGCATAATACAAGTTCTAGATGACTCATAATTCCTTCAAAATTGGTAACAGATATCAATTTCGTCCTCCTTACATTTCCTTGATGAATAGTATCTTCCAAATGTGAAGACTAATTCAATTTTAACATTCTCGCGTCCCCTCCCATTTCAAGTAAAAGATTAATTCCATGCATAAGATAATCCTAATTTACTGCTGGAAAAGAGCAAACAAGAATGGTCAAGTCTAATATATAATCGAAATTTTTACACATAACCTGGCCTGTGCTTTCGAGCCGCCCTTTGTATACACGTCCAAATCCTCCTTCCCCAATAAAACATTCGGGTCTAAAGTTCTTTGTCGCAATAGCAAGTTCCCGGAAAGTGAATGTTTGAGCAGAAATATTGACAAGAGGAGCATCCTTGGGAATCTGCTGTTCCCTTTTGGAACCTCCATTACTTTTGGACCCAAGTTTGTCTGTGCCTGCAAGCAAAATATACAATCATAGCAATTAAGTAACAGATCCATTTGCAGTATGCGGTCCTCCTACCCCATTCTAAAATTTAGGATCCGTCCTCCGTAAAAAGGGGGAAGATGTTTGAAGTGGTAAAACTATATTTGCAAAGCGGAAAGAATCTAGTACTGCAAACAAATATTATCTATCATACAAACATGATGGATGCAGAGTACACAAATTTGGATGAACACAATCGCCAGATTTAGTGACTACTAAACAATTGATTGCGACTCTGATCCCTATAACAAATGTTTCGGTCAGACGCATCATACTACAGAATTCACCACGATTCCTCCAATGAAAAAAACACAGGTCTATCAAATTTATGAAAATCTACTGGGGTCCACTAAAAGTAGCTCCACATCAATTTTCTTTTTTCCCATTTTATCAAAACCTTTCATAGACTAACATGAAGCAAGAAAAGGAACAACAATGATGAATCGTACACACTAGATCAAGAACACACAGATTTTTATATACCAGAGACTCTACACAGATCAAGAACCAAAGAGAGGAGAAAAACTAACCAGAAGGTAATTTTGCAATGTTCGGTGGAACCATTGGATGGTCTTGCTGACCATCATCGCTTTCCCTTTCAGGATTTAGCTTCTCCTCCTCCCTCGAATCGAAACAAGGAAAACAACCCATATCCTCAAATCAAAACCCCAATCCTCGAAATCCTTGTACTCCTCAAAAACACAATAACAAAGGGAAGAATTGATCTCAAACGCCGCCAGATTCGATCGAGGACTCGCAATCCAATCCAATTACCACGAAAAACAAAGAAATCACATCAAGGGTCAGTCCAAATGAGTCCGTTCCTAAAAAAAAATTAGTCCCCAAGAAGCTCCCTCCTCCCGATCGGGAAGGTGAAAAACGAAGAAGAAGAAGAAGACAGAGAGAAAGAGAAAGTAGAAGAATGTAAAGAGTGTAGAAATACCAATAAATGATGCTGAAGAGACGAGGGAGAGGGTCGTTGGGGGGGGTGGGAAGCTAAGGTTTCGTGTGAGATAGATTAACTGGGTGTGCACAGTGAAAATGGAGAGCAGAGTTAGAAGAAGAGCCGGCTTTGCATTGAAGACTACTCGGCTTCCACACACGCCCCCTTGGATTACGGCAACCCCAATTATTCAATTAACAAAACAGAATAATAAAGAAGTGGAAAAGGGAAAAGGGGTGGAAAAGGAAAATGAAGGAAAAGAAAATCACATCTCAATTTCAGATCCGCTGTATCTCTCCCTCTACGAATAATTGAATAATGATCCAATTATGCATCATCATCCTTTCTCTGAATTGTTTGGAAAGAGGGTTGGGTTGAATGGAAGCAGTGAATAAAAGAGGGGAACTGGCGGATTCATTCCACATTCAACTGATGGAAAGCTTCATTTTTTGTCCCTCCATTGCCTTCATTATCTCCAATTTCTTCTCTGTTCGCGTACTCGTGACGCTGACTTCAATTCCACCAATGGAAACGATGGCCATCATCGTTGCCATCGGATTCAAATCAGACGGTTTTGTATGTTGCTATCGGTTTTTTTTTTTTTTTTTTTCCTCCCTGTTTTCTTAACCCCCTTCTCTCAACTTTTAGGTTAAATTATAGCTTTCCCCAACATACATCTGGCATTTGGGTTTCTTAAGAGAAAATCAAAAAGTAATTGAAATCTTTGGTATCATCCTCATTTGGAGTGAAAACAAGAAGAACTTGCAATTGCATACTTGATAGAGCCGATGAACTACTGGTGCCCTTCATTGCAATCCTATCCTCAAATTAGCATCTTTGTTTCACTAGATTCTCGCTTCTTCATTTACCCTTTTTCTTCCTTCCTTCTCAACTCTTTTTCTTTCCCAATTGTTTTCTTAGTTCGTTCATCTAAGGTAAACAAAGTAATATTAGATGTCTTATGATACTTCAAAATGTTGACTATTTTGTTTTAATGTTCAATTCGATTGACAAAAATCAATTATAAAGTCAAATATTACATGTCTATAAGAATCTAAATTATTCAATAGCTTTTATATATATACGAGTTAACTATTAAATTTTAACAAAAAAAATTAGGTATAGTATTTTTTTTTTTTTTTTTTTTTT